GAGCTTTTCCGTTTGTCAAAAGTGGATTCTCAGCACACATGTGCCGACGACGTGGCGGCGCGAGTCAACCATCCCAGTACCGATCGTCCTGTCGTCCTCCATGTCAAGGGAGAAGGGGCGTGCCCAGGAATGTCGAAGAAATGCGTCCTTCGTCTCGATGGTGCTATGGATGATGCTCATTTTGACCATGGCATTGCTAGATGATGTTGGTTATCGGTCTCGTTTACGTTGGTATGCAAGTGAAGGTGATCGCGCTTTGCCCACCTCTCGTTCAGATTCGTCGTCCAGCTCGTTGTTCAGCAGGCTTCCGATACGAGACAACGACGTGGGCCGAGCACGTGAGATTGATGCCATGTCCTTGGAGACTACGATGTACATGTACTGCAAACAGGAGGAAGGCGGCGGCACTGTCGACGGCTCCGCATCCATGGAGGTCGATCGTGGGGCGACTCGGGTCTTGCGTGCCCTGAGAAGGCCGAAATGGCACCAGTAACAAATGCCTCGTTCTGGTGGAAGCGAGCAAAGGCAAGGTCTATCAGGTACCAGACTGGGGGTTCTGACCTACCCTGGCACCAACGGCCTGACTAACCCTCTTACTCCGGATCTCCGGTCCACGTTGGGTCCACTGTTTCTCGACCAGTCTTTGCCCGAATAGGCTCTGCAAAGCGAAACTGGCTCTGAATGGCCGGCCTCTCTGGACTGCCGGGGCAGATCTGGGACTAGGCGGCGACGGCGGCCGGGGCTATCATAAATTCCCATACCATATGGACATGGATTCGCACTTTACAATGGACAAGCCGCCCAACACGATCCGAATGAAGTCATTGCCGAGATCGTACGCTCCGGACAAGACTGTAAATTCAGTACCCGCCCACAGCCCACATGCGTCCGGAAAGCCATGGTGGGACGGAGGGAACCATCAGCAACTTTACTTTGCCCATTATTGAAGGTTTCGTGGCAGAAACGGGTTAGGGTCTCACAACACCCACGCACATGACTTCCATCGCAGGTCCCTCTCGATCTCTGTTTTTCTCGCTCTCAGGGGTGCAACGTGGGCACTCCGCCGGCAAAGAGTGGCCCCCCTTTCACCAGCCTGTGCCTCCATACGCCTGCAATGCGCTCTCCCTTGCTCCGCCCCTGGCCCCTACCATTTTGGCGATGAGCACCTCCAAGACGCGCTAGGAACTCTTCTCGACGTTTCTTCTCCACTCGACAGAGAACCCCCCAAGAGCAATCGGTGGACCCCTGCGTGCAACTGCAATAGGCAGGTGCCGAGGCGGGCAAATGACTGCTCCTCAAAAATACATACGTGAAGTAGGCTGTCGTTGAGGCACAGCATGGAAGGATGGAGGAAAGCGCACAATACACCCTCTATACGGCAGAGGAGGCAGCCCGCTGGCCCAGATTGGCCATCCGGATATTGGTTGACATCGCTTCATGTGCTCCCTAATACGAGCCCGAGCCGTCGGGTGCCTCAGCAGACGCCATTCTCTGATTGAAGGAATTTATGCGTCCGACCCCCCCCCCCCCCGCGCCCACCGCTTCAGGCCAAATAAGCCCCGCCCCAGGAGGACGCGGCGCGGGTTGACAGGCCTCACGGGTCGATGACAGGTCTGAAAGGCCTCTTGGCAACGAGAACTGGGAATACCAACCGTCGTCATCTTCTCGGGTGAAGCTCGTCGCAGACTTGGCAGTTCGCTCATGTACGGTGCGGTTTGCGTGATACGGTTCTCACTATGACAGACTTTCGAGCGAATTCTCCCTGCTCTGCATCCGCATCTTGTTGCACCGTGTCCTTGTTTGCCTGTCAACCGTCTGGGACGCCCATCAGGTACCTGGCGTCAGCACAGCCAGATGGACCCTGAGATCGAACCCGCTTGTCTCGAAATGAAGGGGGCGTCGTTCGACTCGATGAATGTGTCCCATCCCGATGAGGGCGTCGAAGCAACTGGCCACTCGAGAGACTGCTGCTTGGTACCTGCTGGCCAAACCCCGCCGCAGCTGGAGGCTGGTATCTTTGCCGTTGCCAGCCGCTGTCAAATTAGCAACGATGAAGAATAGACGCACCGTCCTCGTTGTTGCAACATGGCCGCCATACTCCCAAAGCCTGGGACCCATACCTCGACCGACCAAGCCGAACTTGTCCGTTCTGTTACACGCTGCACCTCTGCAGATTGCGATGGGGCGAGACGTAGAACGCAAGCGCGATCGCGGCGTGTCTCCGGCCACATAGGCCGAGAGCCTCCATGAGCTGGCTCATAGCCTTCGCTCTAACGGACGACATCCGGCCCTTTTCCAGGCCACGCCTCATCGTTACAGGCGCGACAGCAACATCGTCAACCTCTCGCGGCAATTGAAAGCCGATGACGACTGAGTGGCTGCCCCCTTCTAGTTCACGTTACACTTCTGCCGAGCAGGAACGAGCGAGGCTCGCTGTCGTCGTTCATGGGACGGAAGTCCGCTCCGGCGGACAGCTCGCTTGCCCTGCGGCGCTGTTCATCGGTGCCTGCTCAGAAACGGCACAGCACCACCAAGCACTTCGGAAAGATGTGCTTCCGGCGGTCAAACGGCCCTTGCCTTTGTTCACCCTGTATTTTGCGTTGGGCTGGGTGGACTCACTTACAACGCGGTCGTGGCCATCAACACGTCAGCTTTCGAGCGATGCAACAACGATGCGACAGCGACATGTCAGCCAACCGTCTCGTTGCATCAGTGGCGAGCGGCCGAATGGCACGTCAGACACCCGATCATCTTCCGCTGTCGACGGATGGCAGAAGCAAGAAATGGGGTTGATAGCCTGGGGCCTTGGGGGGGGGGGGTCTTGGAAGTGCGGCCACGGTACTCGAAAGGGGGGTACACGCCGGCCCGAAAAGGGCTGACACTGGCCCCCAGGACCAGCATGCTTGCACAAACCCACCACGGACCGTGTAGCGCCAACGCCCAGTCTGCAGCGCTCAGTTGCCAATGCCGGGCCCCGGGTATGGCAGGTGATCCCACTGCAACACAAGCCAACGGGAGGGAGGGCCTCTCACGAGGCCTCAACGGCACAGCGAAAAGGTCCGACGGGTGCGGCATAGGGCACAGCCTACAGAGCAATCGGCCAGGGGTGCCGCCAGAGAGCAGCGCCCGTTCAGTGCCATGCCAGGGCAGGACGCAACTGCACCATCCTATTCTCAGGTTCACCTACATCGTGCGTCTGCTCTCCACACCCCCGTGACAAGGGGCCGGGTCGGCGCGCACGCCTGCCCAAATGGTTGACAGCCTGGCCGCAAGTCAGAGTCGTGGCCAGCAACCCATGAAAGACAGGGTCGTGTGTGATTATGGAAGGAAGGAAGGAAGGAAGGAATGGCAGAATGGTGTCATCGCCCAACCTCTCGCGTCAAACTTGCGTGTACTTGGACCTCTTGATTTGGACCTCATTCGATCGTGCCACAGATACAGGCCTGGCCTCCCATCACAGGCTGAGTGCCAGTCCATTGCGTGGAAGGAACATGGAGGAGGTATGAAGCCAGCCATGCTCAATTTTCTCTTGAATTCTCAACGAGGCCCCTTTCTCAACATACAGAACAGCCTCAGTCTCTGCCTGCCAAGGCCTGTTGGTTGCCATCACCAGCTGACCACATGCCACCGAGTTCTATAGGGTAGGTACCTACCTGCCTGTCCCGCAAAGCCGTTGCCGACCAAAAGGCTGCGCAACATTACCAACCGCCATGACAGTATAAGCGAATCTGCTGCCCGCGACCCAATGCAGACGATCCTCGACGTCGACCGATGAGTCGCCTCACCACCAATCACCGCGGAGCGCGGCTGCCCGGCTTCCCACCCCCTTTGCAACACCAGATGAGCACGACGACAGGGGCGGCGGGGCCCAGCCAGCCTGCCAGTCAGGGCTCGCTGTCGTACTCTGTATATTCTTCTATCTACTGTACATGCGCCCCCCCCATGTACGGCCGCCACGATAGTGCCAACATGACCCGATGCGAACGCGGACATTGATCCTACAACAGAAAGTGACCAGACTTTCGGGAACGCCCAGCGTCAACGGGGAACGGACAAGACGACCCCTTATTGCCTAACTTGCTCACTGCATCATCACCCCCTCCCGCCCCCTTCCCTTGCCTTTGCTTCCACTTGATCATACCGCGTCGTCTATTTCTAGGCTTACCTGAATGCTGCCGATGCCGATGCTGCTACTGCTGTACCTTCGGCTGGGATCGACCAGGGACCTGTGGGCAGCAACACTCCATGGCACATCAGTGAGCGGCCGCCACACCAGGGGGCAAGAAGCGGAGCGGGGAAAGGGCAGCGCGGGTGAGACGCCTCTTCGAGAAGCCCAGAGGATGGCGCAGATCCTCTCTCTCCATCCGCCTCCGGCTGTTGGTCTGCTTGGTCTCCAGGGTGCTCCGTTCAACCCCTGCATACCGTTGTGCTACTGGAGGATGGGGTACGATGGGGTGTCAGCAGGCTGGGCAGGTGACGAAGAAGACTGAGCATTCCGCGTACTGGCGCGGCGTTGGTTTGGATATGCGAGGCAGAGACATCGACGGTGACGAGCGGTAACCAGTTTTTTGTTATTTCTCCATATATTCTAGGACCAACCATCCTACCTACTACCTTGCTAGACGCAATAACTCCGGGCGCGGCGGGGGGAGTGTGAATAAACCACCACTAAAACAAAACGAGATCGACGAGTCCTCGGTGCCACGGCACGTGCGGTGGCCAAGGGGACATGACTTCTTTCTATCGAGCTCCTCTCCACGTCGTATATACATGTATACGCGTATCATTGCGGAACTGGCTTTTTTTCTGACCGACCATCAGGCAGTTGCTGCTGATGATGCGGGGGAAGAGGGGAGGAGGGAAACGAGGGGTTGAAAGACAAGCGGCGGGTAGGGAGGGGGGGGGGGGGGCGATAAGAAAGTAGAGAAAGGAGAAGATCTCCCCCATCATCATCTCCACGCTCCACGCTCGCGCCGAGTGACTGGCTGCTCTGGCTCAGCTCAGCCCACCCACCGGCGCGCGCTCTTGAACATCCTGACCCAGGGACCAAACTCGCCCCATTCTTCAATCTGACTGGGCGGCACGTAGCTGGCCACGTCGGCCATGATGGTGCGCTCGGGGTGCGGCATGAGCGCGAGGACCCGTCCGTCCTTGCTTCGGACACCTGCCACGCCGCCGGGGCTTCCGTTGGGGTTGGCTGGGTAGCACTCGGGTTCGGCGGTGCGGCGGCGGTTGTCGACGTAGCGTAGCGGCGCGAGACCCTCGGCGCCGAGCGTGTCGAGCTGGGTTGGCGAGGTGAACGTCGCGCGGCCCTCGCCGTGCGAGACGGCGATGGGGAGGGACGAGCCGCTCATGCCGTGGAGGAAGACGGAGGGCGTCGCGGCGCGGCTGTCGTCGATCGTGACCATGCCAAACCGGGCCTCAAACTGCCTGCTGGCGTTGTGCGAGAAGGTGGGCCAGTCTGCGGCGCCGGGGATGAGTTCCTTGAGCCTCGTGATCATCTGGCAACCGTTGCAGACGCCTAGGGAGAAGGTGTCTGGGCGGTTGAAGAATGCCTCGAACTCCTGGCGTGCGTGCTTGTGCTCGAGGATGGACTGCGCCCAACCGACGCCGGCACCGAAGACGTCGCCGTACGAGAAGCCGCCGCCAGCGGCGAGGCCGACAAACTCGCGCAGCGAGCGGCCTGCCAGGATGTCGCTCATGTGAACATCGATCGGGTCGAAGCCGGCCGCTTTGAAGGCGAACGCCATCTCGGCGTGGCTGTTGACGCCGACCTCGCGCAGGATGGCGACCTTGGGTGCGTTCTTGAAGAAGCTGCCCACCGTCGCCGTCAGGGGGTTGATGTCCTCCTTGGGCTGGAACTTGAGGTTGAATGAGATGCCCGGGTCTTCGGAATCGGCGATGGTGGCGAACTCGCTGTCGGCGTGCGCCGGGCTGTCGCGCTCCCTCTGCATGGCGTACGACGTGCGCGACCACCACTGCTGCATCTCGACGCGGTCCAGGTTGACGATGGGTGTCGGGTCCTGGTACCGGATGGTGAGTTCCTGCTTGGAGGTGGCCTTGACGACACCGATCTTGCGGATGAGGCCCTTGGGAGGTCCGCAGGTGGCGAAGCAGCGCTTAAAGTTGGTCTCGTCCGACTTGCGAACCTGGAACACGGCACCGAGCTCCTCGTTGAAGAGGGCTTCGAGGACGTCGGCCGTCGAGCCGGACTTGGCAACGCCATCCAGGAGAAGTTCAACACCGCAGCGACCGGCAAACATCATCTCGGCGACGGTCGTGATGAGACCACCGTCGGAGCGGTCGTGGTAGGCGAGCACAACGCCGCTCTCGTGGAGTTGCTTGAGTGCGTCGAAGTAGTCCGTGATGAGACCGACGTTGCGGACATCAGGGGCCTCGTTACCGAGCTGACCGAAGGATTGTGCGAGCGCTGAGCCGCCCATGGCCTGCTTGCCCTCGGCAAGGTCGACGTACAGCAGGATGGTCTCGCCAACGTCCTCGACGCGGCGGAGCTGGGGCGTCCACGTCCGCCTGACGTCCTCGACGACAGAGACAGCGGTGATGATGGCGGAGACGGGCGCGGTCACGCTCTGTGCCTTGCCCGACTCGCGGTCCTTCCACGACGCCTTCATCGAGGTCGAGTCCTTTCCGACGGGAATGGAGATTTTCAGCTCGGGGCAGAGCTCCTTGCCAATAGCGTGGACGGCCTCGTAGAGGCGGGCGCCCTCACCGGGGTGATTGACGGCAGCCATCCAGTTGGCGGAGAGCTTCACGCGGTTCAGCTCGCCGATAATGTCGGCGGCGCCGAGGTTCAGCAGACTCTCAGCGACGGCCATGCGCGCGGACGCGGCGGCGGAGATGAGCGCCAGCTGGGGACGCTCACCCATGGCCATGGCCTCACCCGTCCTCTTACTGGAGCCGATCTGGTACGACGTGGCCGTGACAGCACAGTCGGCAACGGGCGTCTGCCACGGGCCAACCATCTGATCACGCACGGTAAGGCCACCGACCGTCCGGTCGCCAATGGTGATGAGGAATGACTTGGAGCCGACGGCCGGCATGCGGAAGACACGCTCCGTCGCAGCGGTGATGAGATCCGCATTGGAAGCGGTGTCGCTGACGGCGGACTTGAGCGAGGCGACAGCGTTGAACGTCGGCAGGTCAAGCTCGCGCCTCTCAACAACACGCTCGAGGCGGCGGCCGGGAGGGAAGAGGGCGGACATGGGGAGGTCGATGGGCAGGGGGTGCTCGGTGGAGTCACGGTCGCTGAGGATGAGCTTGGAGTTGCCGTTCTCGTCTTCGGCGAGGACGGTGCCGACGTCGGAAAAGGGGCAACGCTCGCGGCCTGTTTTGCGCTTGTTTAGCAAAGAGCACTTGCACATGTATCATCCGCGAAGAGAGACACTTACGGCAGATGCTGACGAAGCGGTTCAGGGAGTCCTTGTTGACAAGAAGGACATAACGCTCCTGAGACTCGTTGGCCCAGAGCTGAAGGGGACTGAGGCTCTTGTCGTCGGTGTGAACTTGACGAAGCTCAAACTTGCCGCCGAAGCCGGCGTCCTTGACGAGTTCGGGCAGAGCGTTGGAGAGACCGCCGGCGCCGACGTCGTGGATGAAGGCGATGGGCGACTCGTCTCCGAGAGACACACAGGTGTCAATGACCATCTGGGCGCGACGCTCCATCTCAGGGTTGCCGCGCTGGACACTGGCAAAATCAAGTTCGGCCGTGTCTTCCGTCGAGGCGGCACTGGAGGCGGCACCGCCACCGAGACCGATGAGCATGGCGGGACCGCCGAGAACGATGACGTGGGCGCCGTCGTTGACGTCCTTGGGATCCTTGAGCGCGTGCTGGGGGCGGACGGTGCCGACACCACCGGCGATCATGATGGGCTTGTGGTAGCCGCGCCACTCGGGCTCGTCGTCGTTGCCGACGTTGGTGAGCAGCGTGCGGAAGCAGCCGAGCAGGCACGGGCGTCCAAACTCGTTGTTGAAGCGAGCGCTTCCGATGGGGGCCTCGAGCATGATATCGAGGCTGCTGGCGAAGTGGGCGGGCTTTCCAATGTCGACCTCCCAAGGGGCCTTCTCATCGGGGATCAGCAGATCAGAGACCCAGAAGCCGCAGAGACCGGCCTTGGGCTTAGAGCCGCGACCGACGGCGCCCTCGTCACGGATCTCACCGCCGGCACCGGTGGCAGCACCGGGGAAGGGGGAGATGGCTGTGGGGTGGTTGTGGGTCTCGACCTTGGCGAGGATGTGAACGACCTCCTTGGTCAGTTTCCAGGAGCCTGTAGAGTAGTCGGGGGCCCAGAAGGCGGCCGTCTCACCCTCGAGGACGGCGGCGTTGTCGCTGTAGGCGGAGACGGTGTAGTCGGGAGTGGTCTTGTGGGTGTTGCGGATCATGCCGAACAGGCTGTCGGCCATCTGCTCGCCGTCGATGGTCCAGCTGGCGTTGAACTGCTTGTGGCGGCAGTGCTCCGAGTTGACCTGGGCGAACATGAAAAGCTCGACGTCGTGCGGGGGGCGGCCCTGGCGCTTGAAGACCTCGACAAGGTACTCCATCTCGGACTCGTCGAGGGCGAGCCCGAACTTCTTGTTGTGATCGCGAAGGCGCTCGAGCGGGGTCTGGGCGCCGGCGGCAAAGATGTCGACAATCTCGAGGGGGTAGCGCTGGCCCTCGACAAACATGGTGTTGAGGTCAGGTTGGGCGAGGCCAATGGTCTCGGTCATGCGGTCGTAGATGATGTCCTTGAAGGGGATCGCATCCGTGTCCTTGGTCAGGCCTTGGTCGAAGGTGACGGTGATGGCCTGGCCCCTCTCGATGCGCTCGATCTGGTCCTTGAGGCCGCAGACGTGGGTGATGCTTGTACCCTTGGACGACCAAGGCGAGATGTTGCGGGGCGTCACATAGTACGTCTTGGTGGTGGGCGTATTGGAGGGCAGATCGGCGGAGGCCTGGTCGGCGGGCATCTCGAGCCAGCGGACGAGCTTCTGGGTGACGGTCTTCTTGTCGCTTCCCTTGAGGTGGACGTAGTAGATCCATTTGCCGGTGACGCTGGCCACGGGAGACTCGAGACCGGCGTGCTTGTTGATGCGGCCCATGAGCTCGTCGGCCTGGGTCGGGGTGAAGGCCGGGCCTCCGATCAGCGTGAGGAAGTCCATGGCGCGATTGAGTGCAGCCAGCGGGCGAGGCCGACGGGCGTATGGGTTGGACGCAAAGTCGCGGTGAGTCGCGAGGCGGGAGGGATGGCTGTTGAGGATCAAAGCGAGATGGCGGAGAGGGGAGGACTCCGACTCATCAGAAGGAGGAGGGACGAGACGAAATTTTGGCGGGGCAGTCGCCGTCGGGAGGGAAGGAAGAGAAGGCTGCATGGAGGGGTTCTTTTGTGGCTGGTGACCCCTCTGCCTTCCGTGTTTCGGGTGGCTGTGCTGTCTGTATCTTATCGTGGTGTTCACTTATCTTATCCCCTACTGCGCTGCTGACTCGGGCGCAGAAACGCGACATTGCTGGCCATTTCCATGCCATCCCTGTTGAATGAGGACAGGGGCCAAACCCCCAAAAGAATTCCAGCACCGTCGTTTTGCAACTTCGCGATCGTCATTTCCGGCATCTGCGGATGATTGGCTCCATGCTCCCCTGATCAACCAAGTGCTCGACATAGCCAATTTTGCGACTCAAGCACCATCTCCACGCCTGGTTCCCTTTCCTGTTCCGACCTTGATTCTGTCTGCTCTCTCCAAACTCTACAACGAAGCGCGGCATGATTTGGTGATAGCTCGCTTTTTCCACCTCGAATCCCGCCTGTTCCGCGCCCTCCTCCCTTGCGCGTCCCTCTCTCACCCCCCCTCTCCGGCACGGCAAGACACGACACGACACGACACGACACGGCCGACAACTGACGCGAAACCATACATCACCTCGCCTCCCACTCTCGCCCTCTTCTCCTCCACATCCCACCCAAACGACAACCATCCGCCGCCATGTGGTTCGCAACACTTACGGGCTATCTGGCCCCCGTCTTCCTCGTCCTGTCGCCCGTCATCTCCTACAGCGACCAGGCCATCTCGATGCACAGGAACAAGTCGAGCGCCGGCTTCTCACTCGACATTCCCTTGATCATGCTGGTGTCGTCGTTGCTGAAGTGCGTCGCCACCCTCTTCTAGATCCTCTCTCTGCGCTACGGAGGGGAGGCTTCCGAACCACTGCTGACAGGTATGGACAGGCTCTTCTACTGGCCCGGCGCGCACTTTGACAATGCGCTCCTCATCCAGGCGATCGTCATGATTGCCATGCAGGTCGCCCTCCTCAAGATCGCCCTCGACCACCGTCTACCGCCCTCCTCCAAGGGAGGAGAATTGGCAGTGCCCTTTGCCGGCGCCGCGCACGAGGAAACACCGAGGCCGTTCAACTTTTGGCAGTGGAGGTCGCCCAAGCCGTGAGTTGCGCCCCGGGGACACGCTGGACTCGTCGCACGGCACAAATGAATGCGCTCCGTTACAGCCAGCACCGCTAACCTCGCGCCTCGTTCCCTCTAGGTACTGGCACGCCCTCTTCTACCTCTTCATCGGCCTGCTCGCGCTCGAGCTCATCCTGACGCCCGTTCCCGCCGTCTACGGTACCTACTCGACCGCCATCGGCTTCCTGGGCCTCGGCATCGAGGCCATCCTTCCGATCCCCCAGATCCTCACCAACGCCCGCGTCCAGTCTTGCAAGGGTTTCCGCGTCTCCCTGCTGGCGAGCTGGCTCATCGGCGACGCCATGAAGGTCTTTTGGTTCTTCACAGCCTCGACCGAAATCCCGCCGGCCTTCAAGATGTGCGGCATCTTCCAAGCATGCTGCGATTCCCTCCTGGGCATCCAGTACGTCATGTACGGCGACAATAGCGCAGCGCCTGTGGTCGTCAAGGAGCACCCGCTCGAGGACTTTCAGCCGGGCACCTTCAAGCCGCCTGTGCTGGAGATCAACGGGCGGCCCACGCAGGCGTGACTCGCCGTGGGGGGGCTGCGTGGCAGGACATGATCGATCGGTTTGCATGTTGATGCGCTGGAATTGGCGTTCGGGTAGGCCCGTTGTATGAGGAAGCGAGACACATTTGGATGACGGATGGGACGGATGATCCCTCGCACCACCCCGCATCGCATGTTGGCTGGCAGGCCAATGCATTGGCGAATGAGAGAACTGACCTCAAAGGCAAAGAAAGAAAAAAGCATTGTACTTGGCGTTAAAGGAGGGTCCAGGGAACTACCGGCAGATGGCAGGGAAGCGCGCGTGCGCACGACAGGACGGGCCGCAGGGATGCTGTGGGCGTGTGGCAGCCTCAGCGTTACTCTGGATGCTGTGCACCGCCGTGAAATCGTGTTAAGGGCTACATCTGAGGCCTCTATCTGGGGGGGCGAGCCACCGCTTGATATACAATATTAATACCCAGAATTTTGACCATGCGTAGGACTGCATGTCGCCAGCACCCATGAATTTTTTGCTATCAATTCAATGGGGCCTTGTGGTTAGTTGCGCCCTTCAGAGGGTGTCGGCGATGTACCACACTATCTGGGTCGCACTCGACAACACCACCATCAGGAGTCGATCCAAGCCACCCCCAGCCTCCTCCTTTTCTGCCTACCTCGCCACACCCTCTCTCTCTCTCTCTCACCACAGAGAAACACACACACTCCCCCTATATGCCGTGCACCTCGCAGTCGACCTAGCCAACAATTGACCGCTCGGGACTTTATCCAGCACACGACAAATCCGGTTGTGCTTACGCTTACAACGAACGAGAGCGCTGCTGAACCGACAATCCACTTACACAGACGCTAGGTAGACGACAAGCCGGCATCTCCACATCGCCATCTTTACTTACTCAAAGCAGCAGCAGCAGCAGCAGCAGCCACAGCCGTCTGGTATCTATTCGGCTGGCTCGGTCTGTGCCGTGGAGCTTGCTGCTCCCTAGTGCCCGCTGCTCGGTCTCGACGGCCGAACCCGTCCACGCCGCTGTACACAAGAACCAAGAGGGTAGGTTCGACGCCACTGCTGCTTGGCCATCTGGCTGACGCTCACGATCTTCTAGCTCTGCACAGGTTCTTAAGCTTTGCTGCAGGAGCTCAGTCGATCGACTCGGGGGATATACCCTGAGCGTTTGGTCTTGTTGCCTCTTGCCTCTTACTTGATACCCCCATCCAGCCGGCGAGCTACGACTCTTTTCGGTTTCATCAGTACATTGCCTTTCCGCATTTGAGATACATTGAGATACCCACCCTGTTTCCCCTCGGAGTTTAGAGAGCCTTCCTATCTGGTAAGTTGATGCCTTGTGTGACGCCAAACCCACCTGGTTTCCTGAGTCTTTGGCAACTGCCTATTGGTGGACACTTTTGAGGCAGTCCTTGGGGCTCTTGCCAGTTTCCCTTTCGATGCTCTTAATTATCTTTCCCTTTCGACGATCCCTCATCTCTCATGTGACTCTGCTCCTTCACCTCTTGCCCTACCTTCACCACTCATCATCCGACACCAGGTCCGGCTCTAGTCTGCTCTGCTCCAGACCTTCAACGCCAACGATAGTTCTCGACTAACAGTCTCCTCCGCCAGCGCTTTACAATCCAGAGAGCAAAGTCATCATTCTCAGACCTACTTCCCAGAGAAGCACACTTATTACACCTACTTGTATGTGTGGTTTCGGCGCTTTCCTATCTTGGTCTACCTTCCACCCACTTTCCTCTACTTCCACTGTCAACTGGCGACTTTCGTGCTCTCTATCCCTTCCCTTCAACCGGCTCACCATCGGCCAAGCCCCCTTTCATTCGACCACCAATAAAATTGAACAGACAGTCCACTAACACATACGACAGCGACCACACCGCCGACGACATGGCTCCCTCGAGCAAGACCAACTTCAAGACATATGAGGCTCAGGCCCGCCTCGTGCGCGCCATGATCGCCGCCCACCCTGAAGTCAAGTGGAACTACAAGGGTACGTACTATGAGCCATCACTATGTTCTTTTTCTTCGTGTCTTGCCTTTCCGAGCCGACCGTCTTTCTGACGTGAGGCAGTCATTGTGGACTTGTTCGGTTCCGACATGACCGAGTTCGCTCTCGAGCATCGCTTCCGCGCCCTCAAGGCGCACGCCGACGTCGTACGCCAAGCACGCGAGCAACATGTTGACTGCAAGGACGTCCCCGCCGACCTGCCCAAGGACAAGAAGGGTATGCCCACACCCGCGTGCCCCAAACCTTGCTGCGTCTCTTGCTTCCTTTGTCCTCTGTTTCGTTTCTCTTTTGCTTGTCCTGTAAAAAGACCTTGGCTGGCGAACCTCCTGCTGACCGCTCCTCGTCTCGCGCGCCAGAAATCGCCCGCATGTTCGGCAGCTCCACAGCCGACGGCATCCAGTTCCAGTTCCGCGCCATCAAGCAGGACGCCAACACGCTCAAAGCCACCGTCAACAGCGGCGGCAACCCGGCCTCCGTCCTCTCCCTCGGCCCCGGCAGCACGGCCTCGACGCCACGCGGGCCCCGCACCACAGCCGGCTCGTTCACAAGCGCCGCCTCGACCCCGACGACAGCCTCCAAACGCTCCGCTTCAGCCATCTCCCGCTCCGGCGCCTCCTCAACCAAGCGCACCAAGCTTGGCGGCGGCGCCGCCAGGACCCCCACCACAGCAGCCGCCGCCTCGTCCGAGGGCGAGGACGACGAAGACGACCTCTTCGGCACCGCCAGCCACGACGCCCTCGGCATCGACACGCCCAAAGCCAGCCTGCACGACCGCCTCATGGCCTCGAGCCGCAAGAAGCCCGCCCCCACCTCCACCTCCGCCACCGTCTCCGCTTCCGCAACGGCCGCATCGTCGCCGGCCCCGGCCCGGCCCGCAACAATCTTCAACAACCCCTTCGCGCCGGCCCCGCGCGTCGCCGTGCCGAGCGTCGACCTGACGACCTCGGACAGCGAGGCCAACACGCCACCAGAGGCGGCGCCCGCGTCGCAGGAGGGCGTCAAGTTTGACTACGACGCGGCGCCGCAAGGGTACGGGCCCGGCGCGGGCGGCGTCGTGGCGGGGGGTGCCTTTTGCCAGACGGGGATGGACGGGTACTTTGGGGCTTCGTCTGAGGGGGACAGCTTTGGTGGGGTGGACTTTGGGTCGTTTGTCGGCAGTGAGAATTACGATGAGATTTGAGTCTCCCAAGAGGGGGCGCTTTTTGGGCAGCGGCTTGGGAGCAACGGCTTGCGCGCAATGGCTTGGGAGCAGCGGTTTGCGAGCAACGACTCGCGTGGAGCAAAAAGACTTCACAGATGAAAGCCCGATGGACACTGGAGGCTTCGGGCTCAGGACAATGGGAGCTGAAATATAGGGGTCTTGGAGTTGGGGAGTTTGGTCCTTCCATAGTCTATACCCTAGTCTATAGGCATATTTTATAGCTTGGCTTGGGCGTGGCTACTGATGATCATCCTGAGTACCCTGTGAAAGATGACATCTGCCTGGTCTGTCTGGACTCAATTTGTGTCCTTTGACAAAGATCAATTCCATGGATGCACGGTGGCGGAGGACGGTGACAGGATGTTGCCTAGGAGAACCGCGGGAGCTGTCGAAAGGCGTTCAAGTTGAGTGAAAATTCGCAACGTCGGAAAACTCTGACGCCCGAGCTGATAGCACAGTTCCAGCATCACCACCAAACGCTCTTGCGCTTCACATTTTCATCATGTTTCCATTACTTGGCTACCCTACCCCCTCAGCAAATCCCACAGCGCGTTTGTCTCGACGAAATCATGGTGGATGATGTTGACGAGCCAGTACTCGTCCTTGACCGTCTTGAGGAACTTTTCGCTCTCGTGCCCCCTGCCGTACACCCGCGACCACTCTCCCCAGATCTTGAAGGCCTCCTCGCTCCAGGCCCGGAAGCTGACCTCTTCGATAATGGTCGGCGTGATGATCTCCTTGCCCGGGAAGACGCCCCACGTAACGGCGTTGGTGCTCGCCGGCACCGCCGTCCTCACGAGCCCGCCGCTGTCGTCGGACGTGGCAAAGTCGCCGTTGCCGTTGCAGGCGTAGAAGCACACGGTGCCCTCGACCTCTGGACCTGTGAGCCGCTCGGAAAGCACCTTCCAGTCGGCGGCCGGCAGGAAGAGCTCGACAAAGGCCTTTTGGAAGACGAAGCCGTGGCTCGGGCCCCAGCCAAAGGTGGCGTCGCGCGACGGCACGCCGTTGACGGCGGGCTGCGAGGCGACGGTCCACCAGCCGCGCGTGTTGAGCTCGATAAGCTGCTCCTGGATAATGTTGGTCTCGGGCGACAGGCCCTCCTCGCTCCAGGGGATGGCGCTGAGCTCGCCGCGAATGTGCTTGATAAAGAGGGTGCTGATGTCCACAGAGGACTTGGGGTGGCCCCAGAGACGCACGGCCTGCGTCACCGACATGTGCAGGCTGACGCCGTAGCCGTCAATCTCACCGTAGGCCGGGGACCGCGCGTCGCCCCAGCGGCCGTTGGGGAAGTCGTCCCACGTGGCCTCGCGCCCGAGGACGCCTTCACCCTCGGAGATGGCGAGCGTGTTGGCACGCGTGTTGATGGGCTCGGCGGGCAGGCCGGCACCCTCAGGGTTGGTTTCATAGGCATGATTCGAAGCCGATGAGACGATGACGCGGTTATGCGGGTCGGAGCCGATCGACGACTGCCTGCGTCCGGGCCGGTGGTGTGAGCCGGGGTGCAAACCGTTGATCTGGACGGTTGGTACGACGGGCGGCGTTGTCGCATCGTCAATCACGGCCTCTTCGTCCTCCTGCTCCTTGTCGGGGATGAGATTGGTACGCTCGAGAATGAAAGACACGGCCTTCTCCAGGTTGAGGGTGTAGAAGTGGAAGCCCTGAGGCCCTGTCGTCCGCTTGCTCTTGACGGCGCGGATCTGGTCCACGAGCTCACTGACAATGTCGACGCCAACCTCCTTGACCTTTTCGTCGTCTCCCTTGACGGCGTCGAGCCGGGCCATGAGCGCATCAGGAATCTTGGCGTGACTCAGCTTGGTTGTCCTCTTGATCATTTGGTAGCTCTGGATAGGCATGAGACCGGGGATGATAGGTATCGTCTTGAAGGCGCCGCTCGGGTGCTCCCTCAGGACCTGCTCAAAGTGATCGTAGGCGTCAATGTCGAAGAAGAGCTGCGTCATGATAAAGTCGGCACCGGCCTGGGTCTTTTCGACAAGGTACGGTAGGTCGTGCTCGAGGCTCTGTCCCAGGGGGTGGCTCTCCTCGGCGTGGCCTTCGGGGTAGGCGGCGACGCCAATGCAGAAGTAGTCCCCATGGTTTTTCCTGATGTACTTGACGAGGTCGGTGGCCCAGACAAAATCTTCGCCGTCATCCGACTCTCCGTCGACTGCGTCCTGGTACTCGGCTTTCCTCGGCGGATCACCGCGCAGGGCCAGGATGTTGCGGATGCCGAGGACCTTGGCATCATCCAGGGCCTTGTCGACGAGACGCCGGCTCATGTTGGTGCAGGTCAGGTGAAGACAGGTGGTGAGGCCCAGCTCTCGCTGGCAAATCTCGGCGAGCTCGAGAGACTTGAAGGCCGTGGAACCGCCGGCACCCCATGTGACGTTGACAAACAAGGGGCGAAGGGCCCTCTCCATGCGGTCCAGACGATCCCTCAGGTTGGAGAAGCCCATGGCCGTCTTTGGCGGGAAGAACTCGAGGGAGAAGTAGTTGGCGTTGGCCGGCAGAGCGGCGATCTTGTCTGTGATTTTGTCCATGATGAGAGTTGGCCGTGGTCGGCGATAGAGATCTCTGAGGTGGTGATGCTGAAGCTGAGCTGGGCGAGGTGGCGGGGTTCAACCCAAGCTGGAGGGGTAAAAATGGCAGCTCAAAAATTGGCAGAAAGAAAAAGAGAAACCCTTCCAGGTCGACGATCGTTGCGAAGCTACGAGCTGTCGTACAACCCTTGCCTTGCCAATAGATCAAGATGAGTGAGGCCAACGGCGCTCGTTTCGCTGCTCACGAGGTCTTGGACGCGGCTGAACTAAGGTAGGGATGATAACGCGCCTGCAAGCGGAAGTGTGAGGATTCCCTTCACGTGTGTTGATTCCATCCAGAGTCTGAAGGCGGGGCAGTGACAGTGGCCGTGCTTCCTGCTCCGGCTGCCAGCGGCTCTTGCTTCTTTCTTCCTTCCACCCCACGCCGCTGACAGTGGCAGCCCGTCACCTGGACTGTCAGTAGCTGTTAGCGGGGGGGTTCGCCAATCCGAGTGTACTGGGAGCTGTTGGATCTGACTCTTGTCTCTTTGCTTCCAGTCCTGCTTCCAGTCCTGCTCCAACACACGCCCACGATGAGTGGCCGAGATCGGAAATTCTGTGGGAAAGAGACATATCGCGTAACCCCAACCATGCAGCTCTGCGCTGTACCGGAGGTGGCATTCCTGCAGGCCCATACACTACGGTTCCCAAAGAGGCGAAGGAGGGTGGGATGCTTCATGCAGCTACAGAGGTGGCCCGTGTCTGGTGCTCCTCTGCCTCAGTGGTGTGCCGGTGCAACTTGTACATGTACCCAGCCAAGCCAGCTAACCGGATACGGGCCCGACTTCTGCAGGCCCCCGAAGCATGGCAAGGATGTCCACTAAGCTGCCCATCGCGTCAGGGGTCCCCTCGCTCTGCCGCGTCTCCAGAAAATGTTCTGCGTATCGACAAGTGCTCTGACCTCACCTCGACTCACCTCTCCACACTCGGCTTGCTGTTTGTTGCTTGCCTGCTATCGGTCGCATCCACCACGCCCATGACACGGCGACAGCTTCACCTACACACATCGCTGCCCTGACGATGCCAACACCATGATGCAGGCGCTCTGTGCACGACGAACGGGCCAGCAATGGTCCTCCAACAAGGCAGTCATTGCCGCCTTGCGAACTCCCCTTGCCCGCCAGCCTCTTCTCATCTCCATTCGACAGCCTCACAAGTCTTCCTGTCTGCATCAGCGACGAGGCTATGCCGACCACCGAACTGATCGACTCGATCTGCCTGCTCTAGATCGGAAATGGCGTGAGAACTGGGCGTCCTCCCAGGAGCCTGCCGCGAGCCACGACAACAAGCCGACCAAGTTCGTCTTGCCCATGTTCCCCTACCCTTCCGGCACTCTGCACTTGGGCCACCTGCGAGTCTACACCATCGCCGATGTCGTGGCGCGTTTCCATGCCCTCCAGGGGTCCAAGGTCCTGCTGCCAATGGGCTGGGACGCATTCGGTCTGCCCGCCGAGAACGCTGCCATTGAGAGGGGCATCAACCCCGCCACCTGGACGACATCCAACATCGCCAAGATGAAGGAGCAGCTAGGCAAGATGCATGGCAGCTGGGACTGGAGCAAGGTATGAGCTTCTCTTGTGTGCACCCTCTCGTCCTTCGCCTCTGACGCAGCCTGCGTAGGAAATCACCACGTGCGATCCCGAGTTCTATAAACACACCCAGAAACTCTTTCTGATGCTACACGAACGAGGTCTCGCCTACCAGGCCGAGTCCGAAGTCAACTGGGATCCCGTCGACCTGACTGTGCTGGCGAATGAACAGGTTGACGCCAATGGCTGCTCGTGGCGGTCCGGGGCCAAGGTCGAGAAGCGCCAGCTGAAGCAGTGGTTCTTCCGCATTTCCGAGTTCCGCGACGCTCTCCTCGCCGACCTCGAGGCCCTCGCCAAGGAAGAGGCCTGGCCTGAGAGGGTCCTTGCCATGCAGAAGAACTGGCTCGGCAAGTCGACAGGCGCCACCGTCAAGTTTCCCGTCATGGCCATGGGACAGGACGCCCACGCCGCTATTGAAGTATTCACCACGAGGCCGGACACCCTGTTCGGCGTGCAATACCTGGCTCTGGCATCGACCCACCCTGTCGTCGCCCAGCTGGCAAAGAGCGACCCCGAGCTGCAGGCTTTCCTCGATACCCTCCCTGGCCTGCCGCGAGACTCCAAGGTCGGGTACATGCTGCCCCAGATTCGGGCCGTCAACCCTCTGGCCTACCACGAAGACACCCCAGACGCGACCAAGGCTTCGCTGCCCATTTATGTGGCATCCTATGTGCTTGGTGACTACGGCGAGGGTGCCGTCATGGGTGTTCCGGGTCACGACGTGCGGGATCATGCTTTTTGGAAGGAGCACCGCTACGATGAGCCCGTGCGCTTTGTTCTGGCAGCTTCTGAGGATGAGTCGACAACAGCCATGGCCAATGAGCCCATTGTGGACCACGGCATCATGACGGAGCATAGTGGCCCGTTCAAAGGCAAAAAGTCCATCGATGGAGGCAAGATGCTCGTCGCCGTTCTCGAAGCCGCCGACCTCGCCAAGCCGATGGACAAGTGGCGGCTCAGAGACTGGCTCATCAGTCGGCAGAGGTACTGGGGCACTCCCATCCCCATCATTCACTGCGACTCCTGTGGGCCGGTGCCTGTTCCCGCAGACCAGTTGCCGGTCAAGCTGCCCAACGTGAGCGACCACTGGGCGGGTGGCCAGCCTGGTAACCCCCTCGAGAGGACGCCCGAATGGTCGGAAACCAGCTGTCCCGAGTGCGGAGGCGCAGCGAAGAGGGACACTGACACCATGGACACTTTTGTGGATTCCAGCTGGTACTATGCCAGGTTTGCCGACCCCCACAACAAGGAGCTTCCGTTCTCTCAGGAGGCCACCAAAATGCTGCCCGTGGACCTCTACCTCGGCGGCATCGAACATGCCATTCTGCATCTGCTGTATGCTCGCTTCATCTATAAGTTCATGGCGTCAACAGATCTGTTCCCTTCAGGGCCGGATTCGGAAACGATCAGTCACGAGCCTTTCAAGAGGCTCATCACCCAAGGCATGGTCCATGGCAAAACGTACAGCGACCCTAAGACGGGCAGATTCCTCAAACCCGACGAAGTCGACCTCAGCGACGCCTCTAATCCGAAGGTGGTCGCAACGGGCGCCACGGCCAATGTCAGTTTCGAGAAGATGAGCAAGTCGAAGCACAACGGCGTGGACCCCACCGTCTGCATCGAGACGCACGGGGCCGACGCCACACGCGCCCACATGCTCTTCCAGGCCCCGGTCAGCGATGTGCTGAACTGGGACGAGGACAAGATTGCCGGCGTCACACGCTGGCTGAACAGGCTTTTCGAGCACGTCAAGGGCACGGCAGCCCAGGCGTCATCAGACGAAACGGCGGTCGCCTACTTCACTGATGGCTCCAGGCGTCTGGAGTCGATGACGGAGGCAGAGCTGTCCAAGTGGGACACCGAGGCTGCGCTCTGGCGAGCCGTCCAAAGCACCATCACGTCCGTGACCGACTCGTACAACAAGGTCTACCCCATGAACACGATCGTCTCCGACCTCATGAGCCTCACCAACACGCTGCTCGATAGCGAGGCGTCCAGCCCAGTCGTTCGTCGGGAAGCCACGTCGGCGATTCTGCGCATGCTGGCGCCCATCACGCCAGCGTTTGCCGAAGAGTGCTGGAGTCTCCTGCACCCGGGCACGCGATCCATGTTCACGTCGGCGGCGTTCCCGACGGCGGACGACACGGCGGCGCTGCTGCAGCCGCGGAAGCAAACGTGCGCCATTCAAGTCAACGGCAAGGTCCGCGGCGTCGTGCAGATCCCCAAGCCGCCGGCGGGGCTGGCGGGGGATACGCTGCGAGACTGGATGGTTGCCGAGGTGTTCAAGACGGAAGAGGGGCAGACCAAGTTCTCGGGCGGGCCGTGGGATGTGAGGTCGCCAAAGCGGGTCATCGTGGCAAGGGGCGCCAAGACGGTCAACTTTGTCGTGTAAAGTACGTATGTATATGTATACAACAGTGTAGGACTAGCGGGAATACCCCTGTGTATGAGAGATGCTCAGCTTGGAAGAAGATGTTAGGGGAAAAAAAAGAAGTGCTAAAATTAGAAAGTCTATGAACCCATAACCGCTCGCCGCCCATAGTCTACGCCATCTAAATCTGTCTGCTGTTTTCTACCACACCGCCCCACAAGGACCCTCGTGCCCCAACAGGTCCCATGCACATGATGCTCTACGCTTCGTTCACTTCATTGTCTCGTGTTCTATGCAATGCCCAGCACCCAAACAGCTCACAGGATCCTCTTGACGACGAGCGCGCCCGTCTCGTCGCCCGCGAGCTCGAGGAACGAGCCGGTCTCGAGCTTCTTCTGCCACTTGTTGGCCTCGCAGCGCGCCAGGATGAGCGTCATGCGCAGCGGCACGTCGCCGCTGGACGCGTGCTCGGCGGCGCCGGCGGCGAGCGGCGTAAAGGTCCAGCGCCCAAAGGCCCAGTTGAGGATCTGGCGGGTGCGGTCCTGCGGGGGCGTGGGGTTGGCGTCGTCCTGGTCCGAGTCGCGGACGGTGCCGGCGACGTCGAGGACGGCCTTGATGCGGTAGACCTCGTCTTTCGGGGCCGTTTTGAGCAGCGACAGCAGGCGGTCAGCCTTGACGCCGGTCGCGGGGCCGCGGAGCTCGACGGAGAGGACCTCGACCTCGGACTGGTGGTCGTGCGCGTGGTCGTGGTTGTCGCCGTGCGCGTCGCCGTCATGGTGTGCGTGCGGCTTGTCGTCGGTCAGCGTCTGCGCGAGGCCGCCGTCGACGCCAAAGACGAGGTCGACGTCGACGCGGCCCTTGATGCTCTTGACGACGGGCGTCTCGACCTCGAGGTCGCCGATGCGGTCGCGGACCTCGTCGAGGCGGTCCTCGTCGCAGGCCTCCCACTTGTTGAGGACGATGAGGTCGGTGTAGCGGGCCTGGACGCGGGCCGTGTAGCTCGTGTCGTCGTAGCCCTGCCAGTTCTCGACGTCGAGGACGGAGACGACGCCGTCGAGGACGTACTGGCCGCCCGTCTCGCGGGCGAGGCGGTTGATCTCGAGGGCGAGGGTCGCGGGGAAGGCCGAGCCGGACGTCTCGATGACGATGCGGTCGGGGCGCACCTGGGCGCGCAGGTCGGCGAGGGCGACGCTCAGCTGGCCGACGAGGTTGCAGCAGATGCAGCCATTGAGGAGCTCCTGGACGCCCGAGATGGCGGCCGACGAGGCGAGCTGGGAGTCGACGGCGAGGTCGCCAAACTCGTTCTTCAGCAGCGCGAGCTTGTAGTCCGGGTTCTGCGCCTTGAGCTGCGGCAGGAGGTTGAGGATGAGCGTCGTCTTGCCGGAGCCGAGGAAGCCCGTGATGATGGTGATGGGGATGGGCGACATGGTGCTGGGTGGACGATGCAGCGAGCGAGGTTGTCGTGATGTTTGCTGCGTGCTGCGTGCTGCGTACTGCGTGTTGCGTGCAGGAGCAACCCAACAATCTTGGAGGGGTCAAAACCGACTTTTGCGCGCGCACGATAAGAAACGGAAACGTTGGGGGCCATTTTAGGTTATCTTAGCGTTGCCAAGAGCCGCATGCCGCACGGTGCCTAGCGCCCCCCGCCATGTGACGTCAGTTTCGTCCTCCAGGGGAGCGTGCCACCTCCGACAGCCCTGTAATGCCCTGGAACCGGTAACATCAGTCCCCTGTAGGTGCCCCGCGGCCCCCTCCCCTCTTTCCCCCTGGACGGCGCCTGGCCTGGGCCTTACGTCGGTGTTCCCACCATCACCAGCTGGGCCGCGCAATCCCTCGACCGGTAGCCGTGCCAGCCAAGAGGCTTGCGCTGCTCTTGCTGGATGAATCGGATGTCATTCGAGAGGGGCAACGGGGGAGGGGGGGTCTGGTATTACTTCTTGTCACAATGCCCAGTAGCTGCTCTATCCGCTTGCGTTCCCTTCTCCCTTTGTGCTTCATCCGCCTTGAATCATCACCAAGTTTGAAGCCAAACGAACAAAACGATATCCATACCCACCCCGCCCCACGACGAAAACACGAACAAAGCTGTGCAACCCGACATTGACAGCCACCGACGCTAATTGTGACGTACGTCGGCGCTACCGTCCCTCGCTATCCTCCGAACGAACCAGCGCGTCTGATCAGCCCAGCCCAGCCCAGGCACACGCAGCCCTGCCCTGCCCGGCGAGATAGGTACAAAACGAGCCGCGCCCCCCCCCCCCCCGACACAGCCACAATGAACGACCGATCCGTCCCCCGCTTCAACCCAGCGCCCGAGCAAGTCGGCATGCACGAGGACGACATGAGCTACAAGGATCAACTCGACCAAAAGGCCTTTGAGGCGCGCCAGCCCGAGGACGCAAACGACGGCGTGATGCATCCTGTTATTGAAAAGGGTGTGTGTGTTTCTGCTCTGCTCCTTTTTTTTTTCCTTTTCCTTCACGCCATTTCTTCTTCTTCTTCTTCTTCTTGCTTCACGGACAAGCTGACAGGGACCAGTCGTCGAATACGTGCCCGTCGCGGCCAAGGTCCTCGGCGACCCCAAGGCCGAGAGGAAGGAGAAGGACGACAAGGGCAACGAGAACCCGCCCGGCCCGCCCGAGCGGCCCCTCGACGACGACAAGATTGAGAGCTTTCTGCGCGGGCAGCACAAGAGCATAGGCAAAGACGGCGTGTCCCAGTGACGGCCTGCGCATGATCGATGGACGGCTGGGCTTTGGTGCTGCGCACCAACCGATGAGCACGCGACACGCTTTATGACGGAGGTCCTTGGGAGTTTCCTTTGTATTTGGTATCCAACACCTCTTCAATTGACGATTGCATTCTATTTCTCTTTTTGTTTTGCAGGGAGAGTAGGTCACTGTATTGAATTCAAGCCTCGTCATTCTTGTTGATTGTTACTTCTATTCTTGGGGTGATCATTAGATCCTACTCATGTCTACATATCCGTCCATCAATTTCAAGGATTAAATCAAACCATTTCCCTCCCAGGTGACCAGCTCCCGAGCCCAAAGGATAATCCAAAGAGAAAAAAAAGCACGAAAGAACAAAGCACGCAAAATGCCAATGATACCCTCCCTCCTTGACTCCGAAATTCCAAATCCCAATTAGATCAAGACCGCACTGAAACACAGCGACTGCAGCTTTACATGCAGATGATCATGCCGATGAAGGCGCTGAGAGCAAGCACACCGAAACTGCTCCTCACAGCCGGCGCCGAAGCCTGGACGAAGCCGTCAATGACATCGCTCTCGGCAGGTGGCGCGGCAGGGGTGCCAATGTCGGCAGAGTCTGCAGGGACACCAGTAACCGTGGTGACATCGCTCTCCTCTTCGGCGGGGACACCTTGACCGACGGTGATGTCGTTCTCTGTCGCGGGCTCGCCAGTGATGGCAAAGTCGCCTTCCGGCTCGGGAATGCCCTGGCCGACATTGCTGGCGACTTCAGGGGCAGGGGGCGCAGCCGCGGGAACCTCGCCCTCGGGGCCAGGAGCGGGAGCGCCCTCAGCGGGGATGGCTCCTTCGGGGACAGGGGGGGCAGCACCGGCGGGAATCTCGCCC